ACACAGACAGACAGACAAGCACACGCGAGAGTTTCCTCCGAAAGAAGCAGGTGAGGGGCGTGGTCAGCCGCGGGGGCGTCCATGGTAAAAGGAGCTTTCGTTGTTGCTCTTTTTTTTTGGTTTTTGTTTTGGTTTTGTTTTTGGGTGGGTGAAACCGATATTAGCTGAGCGGAATTGTTAATTAACGCGTACGACATATGTTAATACTACGCATAGGTCTCTTTGATTTCTGCTTTTGTTTATGTGTCTTGGCGAAACGGTCCAAGCCGGAAAGGCGAATGACGGATGTGCATAAACTTTGAGAGAGAGAGAGAGAGAGAGAATGGTGAGAGTAGAAGGAGAGAATGGATGACTAATGCTGAAGAGAAATTCGTTAAATTTGTTATCGATACCATACCGATGACATTGATTGCAATGAGTCGAAATATGTGATATAGGGCTGAAACAATAATCGATAGATCGAAGGCAAAGGTCATCTTGAGCATCATCTGATCTCTCCATTTGAGCCTTAGCAGGTGATGCTACGGGTGTGGAACTGTAGCTGTTATCGATAATCGATAAATTAGATCACAATCCAAAGACTTTAAAGACTCTTGCTCTATATGTCTCTTTCTCTTACTCTCTATCTTTCGATATGTACATATATCGTAAATATCGTTCTTCTTTACTTCTTTCTCACACACACAAGTTCGTTGCCCAAGTCTTTTGTTGTTTAACCAGCTCGTTGCCCCTAAGACATTTCATAAATATATTTGTTTTATTTGTGTTGCCTATAATTGACAGGCGCATTTCATCAGTCTGTCAATCTGTCGTTCTGCTGCTCAATCAGTCAGTCGCTCAAACTGTGCGACCCCCTCACACACAGCCAGAGCTAAGCTCTTGAAGCGCGGCAGACAGACTTCTTTTACTGCTGCAAGCACTTGTAATGCAAGCCATGTCTCTGTCTTTCTCTCTCTCTGGCTGGCTGTTTGGTCGACACGCGCTCTGTAAACGAAACAAAATATTATTTTGGTGTGTTTATTTCCACATTTCGCTTCAATTTCTTCAGCTAGAATATCAAAAGGTTTTTTTGGTTTTGAGGGCGACTCTTGTTTTGGAGAGGCTTTCTAGTGAAATTGAAAACACATTTTAATAACATGCCAAAATTGAAATGCAAAGACAACACCAACAACAACAACAACTACAGCAACAAAAGTTGTTGACAAAATTTCACTTTCAACAAAAAATCAAGTGAATCTTTCAATTGGAATTGGGAATTGGTATCGGAATTTAAGAGAGAGAGAGAGAGGCTGACAGAGGGCGAGGGAGGGAGATGAGCTGCGTTAAGTTGAGTTGAGTGCGGCGTCTCTGATTAGGCGATAACACACTTTTTTCGTCAGAGGGGCGTGGCAAGCAACAACAACAATAAAAGTCATAGAAAATTTTGATTAGCCGGAATTGGCTTTGAGCTTTGGGATAGAAGAAGGCGTAGCTCAGCTAATGAAAGTGTTTTTTCTTTTCATTATTTCGAAAACAAACGAGATATAATTGAAGCACTCTTTATTTCCATTCCCACATATATACCCTGTACCCGTAGAAAGGGGTGGGTAGTGCAGCGATGCAGAGCTTTGACCGTCTCTCTCTTGATTGGAATCTTTTACCACTTATTAATACAGGGTATTTGACAGTCGATCATACATTAAATGTGCCAAGACTGCAAATAGAAATGAATACTGCGTATTAAATAGGCGAGCAGGCATTTTGTATATCGCAATTATAACTAGATCAATATATGAGGTATTTTACCGTCGAGCTTTATTCAGATATTTGGATATTTAAGAGGTGCTCGACTTCTGGGTGCCCAAAAAATTTTCACGTTTTCTTAGGCAATGGAAAATGTTGTTCGTATGAGGTAATTAGGCAAAGTTTCGATTATGATCTCAATGACTTTTTACTGTGCGCAATGATTTGGCTGTAAGACACAGAAAGAGCGAGACAGCAGGCGAAGGAGATACAGAAAGAGAGAGAGAGAGAGAGAGAGTGATGGAGATGGAGAGAGAGAGTTTCTGCCTTATCTATATGCATTAAAAGTAAATCTAAATCAATTTTTTGTATTCGCCTTCTATATAATTACAGCCAAAGATACAGAGATAACGTCTAGATGCCTAACCTAAGACTATGCTAAGAGGTAAGTCCAGCAAGTTCGTTGCCTAAGTCTTTCGTTTCAGCTTTATGAACCACGAGGCGTAATGCCTCAATGAATTGCCAAAAAATCAAATATAGGTATATGTATATGTATATAGCTATATATTTATAAATATATACATATATGTCGAGGAGACATTGACAGCGATTTAAAGAAGTAGCGTTACATAAAGTCCAGCCAACATGACACGCTTTTCAGTATATTTTTTTAAAACCGTTATTGCTCTAACCATACTTATCGAAATACTCTTAAACAAACGGTATTAGTGAGGAGTATGTGCCGTATGACTGCTTTTGGCGTCTTTCAAGTTGAATATTGTAACTCATCTGTTTTATTTGTAGCACTATATCAGTGCGCTAGGGTATACCATGAGTAGTGGCTCCCTTAGTAATTAGGAAAGGGTATATATATGCCATACACTAATTGGGATATAGGAGACTATAGTTAAAGGAGAGTATATAAGTATATAGTGTAGAATAGCTGAAGCTAAAGTATTTCTATATTATAAGTATATGCGGGGTGCATTAGTTGAGTAGAGTAGCTTAGGATAAGGTACTACTATTGCTATTTTGGTGTTTCACTATCCTCTATAGAGAGTAATGATTTGATCTTATATCATAAATAGTAGGGTATAGCATGGGTAAGGGTATGCCTGGATATAGCTTGAGTAGGACGTTCCTGCACTGCTGTAGTATAGTAGAAACTATAGTAAGGTGTCGTATTTGTCGTATTATTTTCTGGTGTCTCACTATTCTCTTTCTCTCTCTTTCACTCATATTATTTGCTTTTCCTTTTTTTTATTGCTTTTGTGTGACAGACGTTGAAATATTTGTAAGCCCATTCCGTTTGGGGCCTTTCGTTTGGACAGCGACCTTAAATCGTTTTTGACTTTGACTTCAATTGGCGAGCCGCAATATATTTTATTACTATTGTTATTATTATTATACTTGTTGGTGTTTTTCTTTCTTCTTCGTCTCTTTGCTCAAGCTAATTAAGCTATTTGGACTTGTTGTTTGATTGTTTGTTCAGTCATGCATTGCAGAAGTCGCTAATTCTCTGCTAAATAAAACGTAAAATAAACCCAAAATAATTTCAAATTTTGTTAAAGACTTTTGTGGGGCTCAATCCAATCTAACTTTGCTCGAACTTCTTTCACTTCATCTACAGGTCTAAATATTTATAAGAGCTGGTTTGTTTGCCCATTTCACTATGTTAATTGATGTTACGTCATCTTCTGATATAGAGGATGTCCGCTAGTCGTTCACTGCACACTCAATTCCGTTTATATGTCTCTCTTTGCTGCTTGAAATGTGATAAAAAAAAACATTGCAACTTATTTGTAGATCCATTCTTTGCAAAAACCCAGCAGCTGTTCAAGCTAACCTCAAGCGTCAAGTTCCTGCCATTTCTCGAGAATATGTTTTACATTTTAGTATATCCATATCTTCTACAGCAATAGCAACTCGTAACGACCTTCACAAAAACTAAAACAAAACCAAAAAACATATCTGAAAGTGGTGCCAAAAGTGAAAAAAATGAAGAAAAACCAAACCAAAAAACTTTTTAGCTTTTTGACCTTCGAATCACGCAATTAGTTTTGTCACTCTCTATATACATATGTATATACATTGACTTAAGCCATTTGAAGGGGTTTAAGTTGATGTGAACATTTATATTTATCTATATAGATAGATAGATGATACGATATGATGTATCCCTCTCCTCCATGTCCTCCAAGCCTTCTAAAAAATAAAAAGCCAAAATAAGATAGCAAGTGCTTCAATGACTAAGTTGAAGTACTTATTATGCCACCCACAAAGCGAGACGCCAAAAAAAAAACTAGCTCAGAAAAATAAAGTTTGACAGTGCGCACAAGTTGCAGCGGCGCAGGCTGAGGCGTTGGCGTAGGCAGCGTTAGCAGAGTCAAAACAGCGACCGAAAAAGCAACCAAGACACCGGCAAAAACAGTGACAGAAGCAGCAAAAATATTGTAAGCAGCAGCAAAAGCAACAAAGACAGCGGCAAAAGTAGTGGAGGAAGCAGCAGCATCGACAGCCACTGCAACAGCAAAAGAAGCAGCTGCAGTGGCAGAGACAGCAGCAAAGACAGAAGCAAAAGCAACAGAAGCAAACGCAACAGAAGCAGAGATATCAAAAGCACAAGCAGCAGCATAAACTGCCGAGCAAAAGCAAAAGCAGAGGCAACAGTAAAAACAACATCAGCAGCAGCAGCAGAGACAGCAAAGGCAGAGGCAAAAGCAAAAGAAGCAGCCGTGGCGGCAGAGCCAGCTCAGCTCAAAGCAGCAGCAAAAGAAGTGACAAACCGCTACTTTGCGCTCTCTGCCAATTGCACAAGGCGCTTGTTCGCTCTCTCAGCTGCAGGCGCGCTCTTCAGCGCTTGCAGGCGCTCTCTCAGCTGTGCGCGTGCTCTCTCCCTCTTTGTTGCTGTGGCTTATGTTGGGCACCTGTCGCGGCAAGTTTGTCAACGAAGCCGGCGTCGCTGTCGGCGCCAACGTCGCTGCCACTAGAGCTAAGCTCAGCTTTGCGCCGTGCTGGGCACGTCGCGATTTTTCAATGCGTTCCGAACCGCCGATAAGAACGCACGCGAGCGAACGAACGTACCGAAGAAGCGAGATAGCATTAAAGAAAAGTATTCAATAAATTCAATAATTGAAACGCGCGCGCGTGTTAAATATTATACCACTCTTTTTTTTTTCGTTCGTTTTTGTTTGTTTTTTGCTAGAAGTTTATTATTTCTATATAAATATACATATATGATTATAATTGTTTGAAGAAAAAGTTTCCCAAAGTTTTTTTTGTGCACTGGAAAGAAAATTGCGGCCTTTGTTTTTGGCCTAGTTAATCACTGAAAACTATTTCCACTGTGTCATGTGACAGTTCTCAACGCCAGGTGTCGCACCACATGCATCAAAATGTCAGCGAAAAATCAGATCAACGTCTTCATGGAGAAGTTCAATACGGTGAGTGAGAGGACGATAAAGGAATTCAAAGAAGTACAAAAAGGAATCGAAAAAGTTGTCGATGTAGACTATATAGATATATATATTGAGGCCGATTTTTGGAAATATATTCCCGAGATTTGTTAAGATTCAGACAAATTCGTATATGCTTAAAAAATGTATATGAGATTTACGAGAGTATACGCTATATGTATCTATAAGATAGTATGATGATCTAAAGTAGTATTTCGGTAGTACTTTGAATTCTATTTGTAGTATCTAATCTCTCAAAAATAAATAATATAATATAATAATAACATATATT